GAGGACGGCGCCCCACGGGTGCCCGCCTCCACGGCCAGAGGGCCACTCGCGGGGACCGCGAGTCCGCGCCGCTTCCGGGAAAACCGCAAACCAGGATCAGAGATGGGGGGGCCTCCAGGAGGGTCCCCGCCTAGCGGATCTTCCCTCCGAGGGGGCGCGCAGTAGGTGACCCCTGGCTCCCCGCTCGGCGGTTCTGACAAGTTTAAGCCCTTTGAATTTGTCGGAGAAAAGGAGCCAGACAAGGCATTTATCATCTTCTTTATTATTTTGACAACTTCTCCACCTCCTGAGGACCCCGGGGCTCGCCACCGTCCCTTCCGCCCTCTCTGCTGTCGGCCTCCCAGGTAGCCGGCCGCGTCGCTACTCTGCTCGGAGGACGCTAGTTTTCTGGACGCCACGGCCACCGAAGCATTATTTCCCTTGCTGGAATCTGCACCCTCAGAGCAAAGGCGTGCTCGCGGCTACCGCGTGGGAGCCGCGGAAGGAGGGTCAGGGGCCCCTGGGGCGTCTGGCTGGGTCTGCCACACAGAGACACTGGCGTGGCATACGCCCCTCTAAGGGCCAGCGCCCGTCTGCCTCACCGCGGAGCTTGGCTTCTCTGGCTGTGGTCATCGGGGACGGCGCTGAGCCCTCCACAGAGCTAACAGCGCTGCAGGGTGGTGGAGGAGACAAGCTCAGCCAGGCCCGGAAGGACGGCAGTGGGGAGCGTGGGAGTTGGCCAGGACCGCGGAGGTCCTCGCTGAAACGCAGCGGGCTCGCTCAGGCCCCGGGCGCAGGAAGCTGTGTGGCAGCTTTCAAGGCGGCTATGGGAAACCGCAGCTTCCTAGGGAAAAGCCGCAACCCTGCGAGGGGGTCTTTGGGGGGACGCAGGGCCCATGGTGGGAACCAGCTGTCGCCAGGGGGTCCCGGTGGGCAGGGCTTCTCTCTGAGAGATATTCTGCGGTTCACTCCAAACCTAGGCTTCGTTTGGGGTTGCAGAGCATTCAAATGTTCTGGTGCAACCCTGGCAGGCTGCCCAGAGGTAGAGGGTGTGCAACTAGCCCTGCTGGGCGTCCTGACTCCCACTTAGCTGGTCCCCAAGGCCCGGACTGTCACTCATGGATTCTAGTACTACAGCCTGCACCTCAGGGCCCTGGAGCAGATCCTTGTTGATTCGGGTGGTTATGGCTGTGCTGGGTGCCAGGCGCCCCCTGGAGAGGATATTAGTGGCGTCTCCAGCCCCCCCCCAACTCCCTGTTGGGGGAAGAGGCCCTGCCTGGGAAATTGCAGGCCCCAACACCCCTCCCTCAGAGGGCGCTCTTGTGCAGAAAGAAAGGCCTTAGGGAGATTTTATGTTCTTGCATACACCTGGGAGAGGGCAAGGCCTGGCCAGCTTCCCACTGGGAGCTCCAGACTTGGTCCTCCACCTAGACAATCATCCCGCACCAAAACATTGGCTGTCTGGGTTGGGTGGCACCCACTGAGTTATAGTGAGAGCCCCAGCCTTCCCCAGCTGACTCAGGGCTCAGGACTCAGGCTCCATCTGTGGCCGCAGGGCTTCTTTCCACTCTGACTCCATGTGTGGTCTTAGGCTTGTCACCGGCCGCAGTAGTCTCTGCTTGCTGGTCTGTCCTAGGAGACCAACTCTTGAAGGTTTGTGAGGCTCTAATGGGCCACATGATTTGTCCATGGTGCCTGACAGAGATAGCATGGGTACCTGTGCATGTCATTGTCTCCCTCCTGGGATTGAATAACTGTCCCTAGTGCCCCTGTCCAAGTCCTGTCTAGTGCCTTCCTCCTCACTGAACTCCAAACCCCACACCCATTGGGCATGGGGTGTCTTTGCTGTCCAGAGACTGAACGCAGCATGGGTGGACCTGCCGTGCTCAGCCCTCACCTTTGTGGTTCCGGGAGCAGAGGAAGTGACGGGCTTCCCTGACTCTCCCCAGGTATCCTGGAGATCACTGCTGTGGAAGTGGGCATTGTGGCCATCAAGGGGCTCTTCTCTGGGCGGTACTTGGCCATGAACAGGAGGGGTCGGCTCTATGCTTCGGTGAGTCCAATCTGTGCGGTAGGTGGGTACCCATGGGGTCGTTCCCTTGCTGTGACATCACAGAGGGGGAGAGGAGGGACATGGGCCGGAACTCCAGGTCCGTGAATCATACATACCCAGTGCTCTGGGTGCTTCTGGGGGAGGCAGCCCCAGGTATGACTTGGAGTACAGTTATACCAGGGTTATACCAGGGGCTGGACACATCTAAGCTCTCCCCCAAACCTTATCTCTATCAACCTTTGGGAAGCTGGCTGAGAACAGGAGCAAGATGGATTATCAGTTTGTCACTGAAATAAATTGACCCAAGGGAACCTGAGGGCAAAGGGAGGGACAGAAGCTCTTCTGTTGGTTTCAACAGAGCTGGCCTGGGCGTGAGAAAGGAGGCAACTGGGTGGGTTTAGTTTCTTCTCTCCAGGCTGGAAGGCTTAGGAGGGAATCAAGAGGGTGAGAGAAGGGCCCCAGGAGCAAACTGCCCAGACCTTACATAGTCAGAAAGGATCTTGTCATCTTGTGGGCACCAGCAGTGCCCAGGAAGCCCTTGTTGGAGGAAATTTGCTACCTCCAGCCAGTGATTGTGAGCCCCTCCACTGCTACCTCCCTGGACAGTGAGAGTTTCCAGCCTCACATGAGCTAGAGGATGCAGCCACAGCTGCAATCTAGCATCCTGCAGTTAGTTACCCCTCTCTTACTTCCATCTGGCTTTCAGGGAAACATCTTAACATCTCCCTGTCCCCTTTGAAGTCGTCAGGCCCTTCTTGTAGCTGGTTACTTTATCACAGATTTCTAGCTGTTTTGCTACAGGAAATGCACAAGTTGGGTTGCAGCCATATGTCTTCTCAGGCCCGGGGCCACGCACTAGATTTATATATAGGCCCGGGAGCTCCTGGCTTGGGCCTCTCTGCAGACCCCTTGGGGTATTTGTAAGAACATGCCTTTCCCCAGGGTTGGGTCTCTGCTTCTTTTGAGGCAGGCTGGGGCTGTCTGGACCCCTCCCTAGGTCCCTGGGTCTCTCGTGCAATTGACAGAAGCTGGCTGCTTTCTGAAATTGACTCCCCCCAGTTGATCTTCCCTCTTGGGATGAGAGACTGCCCAGGAAGGGCTTTGTGGCCTTCAGTGATGGCTCCGGTCTTCCTGTCCACAGGGGAGACGTCCTGTCCTCACCAGGGAATGTCATAAGGCAGAACAGGGAGCCCACTGGGGAGACAAGCCCAGGTCCTCTGCTGCCCCTTCCCAATGGGAGACCTAGTGATCCCAGAGGGTCAGTGGTCACCTCTGGCTTCTGTTCTTGAGAAGTGATGGCCTATGCTTTGGGGGGGAGGGTACGAGACTCTCAGACCCACCATGAGACAACAAGGCCATAGATGGTACTGGTTGGTGTGGAACTTCCCAGAGTATCCAACAGAGAGTATCTCACTGCCCTTGGATACCTGGGAGACCAGTGCCTCATCACTTATCTGCTCTGAGTTGCCAAGGTGCCTGTGTTGTTCCCACCTCTCCCTGCCCCAGGGCTGAGTGCCCTGGACCTTACCGTCAGCTTGCTTTTCCTCTCCCATGGCCAGCGACCATACCACCCTGACCACTCCAGGGCCAGCCCTGACCTTCCCCGGAAGTCCTGCTGGTCCAGAGACCCCAGGCAGCACACCCCTGAGCTCACCTCTGATGGACTGTTCGGCAGCCCCTCACTCATTCCAGCACCAAGGCAGCTGGAAGCCATGGAAGAACACTTCCCCGTCCCTCTCAAGCCCACAGTCAGTCATCTCCAAGTCCTCAGACAACACTTCCTAAATCCCTCTCTGCATTCCACACATCTCATCTCTTGTAACACAGGCCTTTGTCCCTTCCCATCTGGACCCCTGTAATCGCCTTGGGACCCAGTGACTGGCCAGCCAGCTCTCTGCCCTCCAGCCATCCATGCACTCATCATGTATCTACCCATGCATGCATCCGTCCATCCGTCCATCCGTCCATGAATCCATCTAGGCATCCACCCTGCCAGGCAGCTTTTCTTCTTTCCTTCCTTTCCATTTTCTTTTTCTTCACTTTCTCTCTTCCTTCTTATCTTCCTTTCCTCCTTCCCATCCATCCATCCACCCATCTTCCCATCCATCCGTCATCCGTCTATCTGTCCATCTACCCAGCGGCCATTCCTTCATTCCTCAGTCAGTGCCCTGGCTCTTAACTATGATGCGCCTCCCTAGGGACGGACTGAGGGAACCTTCCTAAAAAGCAAATCTGCTCATGCCCTCCAGTGAACGCTGGTGCCCAGCCCCACCCACAGAGGAGCAGCAGGTGCTTGTGTCCCTCCTCTGTTGTCTGGAACTTGTGGCCCTGTAGTTCTGGTGCCTCTCGATTCTCCAGACAGGTTATGCCCCTCTGCTCATATTGTCCCTGCCTAGACACTTCCCTCCTCCATCCCTCCCCGTGAATCTCTCTAAGTTTCACCTCATCCACAAGGTGTCTTTGAGTCCATGTCCTGGGGTAAAAGTGTCTCTGTGGAGAGGCTTGTGGAGCAAAGGTTGAGGTAGGACAGCAGGGTCAAGATGGGCATGGCGAACTATCCCCTTGGTGACTCCCGACTCAGCTGGCCTGAAGGCTGAGCCCTGGCCCATGAGCCGACACCACCCTGCTGGTCATTTGGGCCACACCTGACTCCCCCATGGAGAGTCACCCAGCCCAAACTGCTCCTCGGGGGGCCTGGGCCCCTTGCTCTTTGAGATGGTAAGCCCGTATCCCTGCAAAGAAGACTTCCCTGGCCCCAGAGGACACACCTGCCTCAGGACTGGGGACCAGGGAAAAGTGTCAGTTTAGCCCAAGTCTGTCACGGTCCTACATGGAAGGCATGTGTGAGCACAGCGCAGTGTGTCCTGACCCACCCTCACTCCCAGACAACCCTGGGCCCTCCTGTGCTGTCAGGACAAGCCACAGTGATGTCACATCCTCTGGGATTTGGGGCCTGGCACCAGCCCTGGGCCTCAGTTTCTCCATCTATAGGCTGTGGACAATGGTCCTAAGCAGTGACATCCACACTGGGACCTGGAGGGAAGCCCGGTGCTGGGCCTGGGGGTGCTCTGCTGAAAGCTCATTCATTTTTGACTTTGCGCTTTGAGAGGGCAGGGACACCCACATCACCCCTGTCTTACCCCAGGCCTGTCCTGTTAGTCTCTAAGGACAGAGAGCATCCTCTAAGTCCCTGTGTGTGCTGGAGCCCTGCCTCTGCTCTTGGCCTGAGAGCAGCATGCTGTGACTTTTACTGAGCATGTGCCTCCTGCCAGGCTCCTGGTATCTACACTACTTCAGCCAGGGGACAGGGACCCTTGACACCAAGATGGTGACTTTCAGAGGGCAGCGGTCAGGGCTGGGACCCGAACTCAGCATTTAATAATGAGAACCAGGCTCAGGAAACCTGGCTATGTCCTCTTCCGAACCTCTGTGATGTTTCTTCTCTTCCTCCTCTCCCCCTCCTCATCCTTCCTGTTCCTGGTCCTCCTGTATTTGAGAGAGGCTCTCACTATATTTCCCAGGTTATCTTTGAACTCCCAGGCTCAAGTGCTCCTCTTGCCTCGGTCTCCCAAGTACCTGGGGTTGCGCCCCCTCCTTCCGTCCACACATCTAGGGCCCCAGAGCAGGAAGACCCAGTCTCTGCTCCAGACAACCCACAGGTTCCCATGCTGGGACCCCCAGAGCAGGCGTCCTCAGAGAGGCCCAGGGGCTGGAGTCCTGGAGAGGAGAGGCAGGGGAGGCTGAGTCTTCTGGAGGTGCTCAGGAAACCTTTGCTGAGGAAGACGCAGTGCGTTAGATCCTGGAGCCTCCTCACAGGCACAGGTGGGAGGAAGGGCACGCTGAGCAGGGGCAGGTGTGGGCAGGGATGCAGGTGTGGGCAGCTGCGGTGCAGGAAAGGAGTCCCAGCCCCCTCTCCAATGCCAGCCTGGCCTCCTGTGGCCACAGACCATGTTCTCTTCGGGCAGGAGCACTACAGCGCTGAGTGCGAGTTCGTGGAGCGGATTCACGAGCTGGGCTACAACACATACGCGTCACGCCTGTACCGCACGGCGCCCAGTGGGCCGGGAGTGCGGATGCAGCCGGGGGCCGAGAGACTCTGGTACGTGTCTGTGAACGGCAAGGGCCGGCCCCGCAGGGGCTTCAAGACCCGCCGCACCCAGAAGTCCTCCCTGTTCCTGCCCCGAGTGCTGGACCACAGGGACCACGAGCTGGTGCGGCTGCTCCAGACCAGCGCGGCCCAAGTACCAGGCAGGGGTGTGCAGTCCCGCCGGCGGTGCCAGAAGAAGCAGGGCCCAGGAGGCCGCCGCAGCCGGGAGCCTCTGCGTGTTCGGGCCACCGCGGGGCTCTGAGCTGGCAACAGGGGGACTCGCTCTGACCCTCGGAGACTGGAATTTCAATCAAGGGGCACATGGGAGCTTAGGGGCTGGAGCTGAGCCCCCACGGAATGCTGCAGGATGCTGGGGGTCATGTGGACGAGGGGTGTGGGCTGGCAGAAAACACGCCCTGAGGCGCTGCCCCAAATGTCCCAGCAGCTCACAGGACAGTGCGGACAGTGACAGCGTGGGGGTGTGTGATGGGGACATTAAATATTTTATTCTACTTTGTCCTCTGCTGGATGTGACACAGACTGAAGGTGTGTGGAGCTTTGGCGTCACTGGATGGGGTGACAGCTCTGACTGATGTTGGGGGTCAGGCCAGGCTCCGGGGGACTGGAGGTGAAACCAGTAGGTAGTTTGTGTGTCCCGGAAGAAGAGGCTTGCACGTGTATGCAAGTATTTGTGTGTCCTTGTGCCCACGTGCGCCGTGTGTGTGCATGGGCATTTGTGTGTCCCTGGGTGTGTCTGACATATATGTGTGGACAGAGACAGCAAGGAAAATCAGTTCACCTAGCACTAGAATTTGGACAAGCCCCTTCCTCCAGAAGCTGCAGGCCTCTCTGGGGACAATTTTGAGGACAAGTGACACATCAGGCCACAGTCCCTTCCTTCCCTCATCCTTGCAGTCTGCCACAGGACCTCCTGCCCTTGCGTAAGTGAGGTTCCAAGAGGCACCTGACTGGCAAGGGAAGTGGTGGCCGGGCTCTGTCTTGGACCTGGCAACTCCCAGCAGTGCTGCTCCCACCTCTCCTGGCACCTGCAGGCTGTGGCCTGGGCCCCAGAGGACAGGGCACCTTGCTCCTCTGCCCTGGCTGGGCTTGGAGAGCTTGGGACCAGCCCAGAATGCAGCAGGATGAAAAACTCGGCAAGAGGCCCTGAGCAAGCATCAGGAGGGATGGTTCCCTGGCCCTTGGCCCTCGGCCCTTGAAGCCGGGTTCCCAGCACTGGTCCCCGAGGGGTGAACACACTGGGCAGCTGCAGGGGCAGAGGCACCGTGCTTCCGCTGCAAGGCAAGTGGGAGGGATGGTGGGACTTGGCAGGTGAGGAAGCTGGGGCTTGATGGGGGACTTGCCCGGGGCTAGTAGTCAGCAGGGTCTCGGTCACTCAGCTCCTGGAAGGAAGCCCCAAAGGCTCCAGGCAGATACTGGATAACGCATCTTCCCAGCTGGGGGTGGGGGGTGTCTCTGACCCTCAGAGGAAGCTAAGCAGCTTTGTTTCAGAGGTGGGTTGAGAGGGTTAGGCCTTACCTGGAAGCAGGACTGCTGCAGATATGATTGGTTAAGAGGAGGCCGCGCAGATGAGGGGGTCACTGTCCAGCGTGACTGTTGCCTTGGGGAAAAGGCGCAGACACACAAGCATGTGCATGCACATAAACGTCACACACACACATGCACACGGGGACACCACATGACAGGCAGATCAGGGCAGGGCTTCCACAGCCGAGGCACAGCAGAGATGGCGGCAGAGCTGGGGAGGGTAGGAACGGGCCCACCCGATGGACAGCTGACCTTGGAATTCGGCCCTCCGGCCTGAGAGCTGACCCGTGTCTGCTGCCCAGGCCGCCTACAGAGGATCACAAAGGACCAGGGGCTGCCCACCATGGGGTGCCCAGGGAGACAGACCCCACTTCTGTCAGGTGAGGGTGGGAGAGATGAGAGGCTCCCAGCTGAAGGGTGGGCCCCCTGGAGGTTGGAGGGTGCCAGCCTGTTGGGGTGTCACTGCGGGTGTGGTGGAAGAGGAAGAGGGCTGAGAGGTGAGCACCCAGCCCCTTTCTGGCCACCTGTTCTGTGGAGGGCCTGGGATGGGCAGCAGCTGGAGACCAGACCATCCCCTCTGCTCCATGAAAAGGTGCCTCTGGGCTGAATGACACGTCCCAGAGGCTCTGGGGACTATGGCCCTGGCAGGACAGGAGAGAGGAGGAGAGAGAAGCCCAGGGGATAAGGCAGAGTCGTTGCTCATTGAGGGCTCTGGGTCAGGAATGTGTCAGGAGCAAGAATGGGAAAATGACAGGTTGAGGCAGGAGGGTCACAAGTTCGAACTCAGCCTGAGCAACTTAGTGACCTAGTGAGACCCTGTGTCAAAGTAAAAAGGGTTGGGGCTGTACCTCAGTGCAGAGGTCCTGAGTCTGATCCCAGGTATCACACACACACACACACACACACACATACACACAGTCGAATGAATACATAAGTAAATGTGTGTATGTTGCTGAGCAAACAGAAAACTAAAGAAGACCCCTTGGGGGCTGGGGATTTAGCTCAGTGATTCCTCCACCTGCCTCATAAGTGCAAGGATCGAGTTTGATCCCTGGTGCAGAAGAAGAAAGAGGAGGAGGAGGAGGAGGAGAAGAACAGGGAAGAGGGAGGGGTAGGGGAAAGGGGAAGGAAAAGAGGACCACTTGGGAGCAGCCAGCAGGTCCCTGCCTGCCCTGTCAGTCCACCCAGGTCACCTTTGAGGCTGAGATACCTACATGGAGGATGCTGGCTGTGTCCCTGGACCACCTCTTTCCCCTCTCAACTGGGGTGGCTGTGCACCCGAGACACCCCCACTGTGACTGAGTGCCCACACCTGGGTCCACACTGGGGAACAAGGTGAGAGTCTTGGGTGGGAAAGAGGCCAGGGCAGAGCTGGTACCTTATGACCTCAGCCCTTCCGCCACAGGTCGGCAGGGGCCCCTGCAGCCCAGGTCTGGCCTCTCCTGCTTCCCGGCTCCATTTCCTAGGGGCTCTCACAGTGATGCTTGGGAGGCCACACGGAAGCCAGGCGTCGTGGCGCACACCTGTAATCCCAGCACTCAGGAAGCTGAGGCAGGACACTGGCCATGAGTTCAAGGCCAGCCTGGGCTACATAGTGAGACCCAGTCTCAAAAATTAAAAAAATAAAAAAGAGGAAAAGTAGGGAGGCCATGCAGAGTGAACAGTGGGAATCACCAGGAGAAAGGAGAGTGCTGCTGGGATCCAGAGGAGGAACTTTTGAGGGACAGTCAGTGCCACCGAGTGTCCTTTCTACCAGGCAGTGCTTGGGGGCTTGGGACCTGGCCAGGGTGGGAGAGAATGGGAAGTCTTGTGGGGGCTCAGGGAATGCCGAGGGTGGGCTGGGCATCCCCTGGAACCACACCCTGGGCAGGCTGGATTCAAGACAGAAAAGTGTAGACTTCGCTAATTAAATAATATTTATCTGCACCTAGTGCTCAGGCGAGCCCTACCCATCCCCTGGTTGGCACCCTGGGAGCACCCACCTGTCCTGGCCACTGTGCCCTCTGAGGAGCCCTGAAATGCTAAAAGGGCACGTGCCAAGGGTGGAGGGCAGGGTGTGCCTGGGGGAGGAAGGCAGGGCTCAGCCTCCGTGTGCGTCAGTCGCAGGCTGTGAGGTGGGTAGGGCCTCCCACCTTGCTGAGCCCCAGTTTCTCCTCTGTAACACATGGACCATGACACCTGCTTCCCACAGCTGCTGTAACCATTAGACACACTAGCTGGGTATGGTGCCACATGTCTGTAATGCTAGCTCCTGGGAGGCTGAGGCAGGAGTGTCTCTGTGTTTGAGGCGAGCCTGGGCTACATGGGGGTGGGGGAGAAAAGGATCCGCAAACCCATAGATCCAGAGACAGAGAATACAGTAGATTGATGGGTAGTCGGGCTGAGGAGAGCTGGAGAAATGGGGGAGATGCAGAGGGGGATGGGGTTCCTTTGGGGTGGTGACAAAGCTCTGGGTTAGACTGCAGTGATGGTCGTGTGGCGCTGGTACAGATCTCCCAACGAGCTTGTTGGCCCCTCCGTGTCTTCTGTGAGAGCCCACTGGTCAGAGCCTCCCTCCCCTTGGGGTCGTCCCGGAAAGTACGGGCGGGCAGCTGCGTGCAGTGTCGCAATCCACCAGCAGGTGGCAGCATGCTCGGGGCCGAGCTCCAGGTGCGCGCGTCCTTGCTGAAGACCCAGCCGGCAGGCTGTCCCTGCCTGGAGAGCCTTGGGGACTCTCTGATGGCAGCTTGTAGGGGCTGCTACGACACCCTGGGTCAGGCAGGAAGAGTCAGGATGAGACTATGCCTGGCTTCCCGCAGACCTAGGATGACACACGGGGGCGACCATGGCAGCTGGTGCCCGCCCTCTAGAGAACGTGGTTATCCGTGCACCCTGAGGAGTGGGAGTGGCTTCACGTGGTCCTCGACTTCCTGTAGAGGGCCCTTGATTTAAGCGTCGCTGCCTCACCTAGGGGAACCTTGGCCTGCTAAGTCAGAGCCGTAGGGTGGGAGCCAGTGCTGGGTGGTAATAAGCCCTTGGATAGTTTGGATGCACTGGAGTTTAGAAGCACCATGGATAATTTATGCTCCCCGTTTAATGAATTATCTTAGACAGAAAGCTGGATCTGAGAGGTCCAGAGAAACAAGACTGCTCTACATTCTTCAGGGACCCAGGTTCCTCCCATCTTTTTCCTCCATATTTGTCATGTGACTTTGACCTGGTGGTATAAAATGGCTGCTTAGGCTCCAGCCAGCAAAACCAAATTGCATCTAGAAGCCCACATTCCATCTATCGTAGCTCACTTTTCATTGGTTAGACTTCAGTCACCTGGTCACTCCAAGCTGCAAGGGAACCTGGGAAATGGTCTTTACTCCATGGAGCTAAGTACTAGGCAAAACTTGGGATTTTATTACCAAGAAGTAAAGAGAGACAGTACACTGGGATTCTCCACCACAGCTCTTAGCAGAATGGACTCCATGGCTCCACATCCACCTGTGTGCCTCCCGAACATCACAGTTTTCTTTCCTTCCCTGGCAGGCTCCCCAGACACCAAGAACACTGGAGGAGAATTCTTGGTGCATTGTGCATCCCAGCTGTGCACGCGTGGTCTTGAGGTTTATGACTGCTCACCTAGGGACCGCTTGCAGGAGGTCAGAGCCCCTGGTCCCTTCTGGCCTGGCCTCTGGGCCCCATGAGCCCCAGATGGCTGTTCGGAGGGCATCAGCTGGCCAGCACCCTGCTCCAGCCCAAAGTGAAGGGAGAGAGAGACAGACAGGATCAGGTGCACCCTGTGCCTGGCCTG